TGCCAATGTCCTCAGTGACCTGTATGCAATGGGGGTTACAGAATGTGACAATATGCTGATGCTCCTGGGAGTCAGTAATAAAATGACTGACAGGGTAAGTAGGGGTCCCCATCTCTTCACACTTGACTTGTTCTCATCGGGAAAGTAAAGAGCCCAGGTCATGTGGCTTCCAGCATTCCATCTAGCATCCAGGAAATTAGCATGAAAGACTCTGGCCTGTGCATCCTTTTACTTCCATCGCTGCTCTGTGCTTCTTTTCGAGGCAGACCAAAACCTAAAAGTAGATGTTTTTGTGTGTTTTCATATTGTATGACATTACTAATGGAGTTAAATATGCAGGCACAATGTGAAGACCACAGTAATAGTGCCACGGTCCAGAGATGCTGTATGTTGGGGGCTGGACCATCAGGCCTCATGGTTCTGTGTTGTTACCTGGTAATGTCTGTGTCCCTGCTACCTGTTTGAACTAGGAATAAATTCCTACTTAGCTTATTTTTCATAGGCATGGTACTTGTTTTTATTCCCTGTCCACTTCCAGCTTGTACAGAAATCCTAGTTTTCAGTAGGCCTTTTGTCCTAGCAGTGTGAGCTTTAATAAGTTGTACTGAGTGGTCTGTAGGCTTCCTCACACTCCTTTGTCACATGTAAACCTCCTTGAAGCAAGGAGTACACGTGTCATGAGGTAGTCTTGTTGTTCTTGTAGTGAGTGGTCTTTAGATGCAGGGCCAGGCTGTAGACCAAGTGGCATGTGGCCTGGACTTCTCTTGTGCCTGGACTTCATTTACCTAGTAAGCTAGAACATCTTGGAGCATTTGATGAGTGGTTGCAGTGTAAAATTCTGAACAGTTTTTGTCCTGTCAGCTCTTTCTAGGATTGTATGATCCTTTTTATAACAAAATATGGAACTTTCTTTTCTAATAAGTTAAAGAGGGGTTAAAGAGACTGATTTGACTTATCATTTTGTCCTTTTAAACCCTAGGAAAGGGATAAAGTGATGCCCCTAATTATACAGGGTTTTAAAGATGCAGCAGAGGAAGCCGGAACATCTGTAACAGGTGGCCAAACAGTATTAAACCCCTGGATTGTCCTGGGTGGAGTCGCTACAACAGTCTGCCAACCCAATGAATTTATCATGTAAGTTGATACTTGTTTTGTGTCACCTGGTTTGTTATCTCTTCTGCATTTTCTTTGAAAAGATAATGTGTTGAAGCTGGGCATCATTCACACCATGTAATTTACCCATTTAGTCATGTGATTCATTGGGCTTTGGCACATTCACAGAGTATAGCTGTCACCATGGTGGGTTTTAGAACATTTAAAGCTTTAAGGTTTGTTCACTTTTAGTGTGTATCATTACTTTGATCTTATTCTTGAAAATGTATAGTTTTTTTTGTATTTTGTACGGGAGTATACAGGGTGAGTCTACAGGGTCTCACCAAATAGGTCGTACTCATAGTGATTCTCCAGTTTTCTGCCTCCCAAGCACTGGGATTACAGGCGCACGCCACCATGCTCAGTCTCAGTTGCCATCTCAGTGCACCCCAGGGCTGGAGCCAGGGCCCAGGGATCAAACCCCTGACCCCTGTGTCTGAAAATATGAATTTTTAAAATGTATTTATAATTTATAACAAAATATTACATAACATATAATCCACCTTTTGAACTAGCCAGTTCATTGATTACATATGCCTCCATCACCACTGTCCAATCCTGGAGCATTTCCATCACCTCAGAAGAACTATATGCATTTGCAGTTCTTTCCAGTTTCCTCCTTCCCTCATTCTCCGGCAACCACTAATCTACACTTCATCGAGATTTATCTGTTCTGGACATTTTATGTAATACGTGACATTTTGTATCCAGCTTTGTTGATGTAGCAGATTTTCAATGTAACTTGCACTGCCTTTTTTATAGCTGAATAACCCATTATTGGGATATACCATATTATACCATGTTTTCTTTATTCATTTATCTGTTGATGGACCTTTGGGATGTATTTTTCTCTAGATTAGTGGTGGCAAATTTAAGACCTTTCAATGATAACAAATAGCCAGGTACAGCACACATGACATAGGCTTGACACCACTGTTCTAAATGAATAACGTTGATGTGAATGCTCAGGTGTGTTTTGTTTTGTGTTTGATGTGGACATAAGTTTCTCCGCATCTTGTCCAGAGTTGTTATACTGTGATGCGTTAGTTACGGTGTACTAATTAGTGGGTATAAATGCTTTGCATTTCCTAGGTGACTGTTGATAGTGGGTACCTACTTTTCTATGGGTTTTTTTTGGCCATTTCTCTGTCTTTGGAGAAGTAGCTCAACACAAGTTATTACTTTCCATGTTTGATGTCTGGAAGAGAGCCCCTCTATCCTGTTTTCCGAAGTAGCAAAATTCCTTGTATGTCTAGTTTGACTAGGCACTGAGCAGTATTACGTTTATCTGGCTGAGAACTCAGGTACTGAGGGCCTACAAGACTGAAGCTCTCCCTCTGCTTCAGCCACTAGGTGTCCCAGGAGTACTTTCTCTGCCACGCTATTGTGCTGCAGACATTGAGCACATGTTCCTTTATTTGGACCTTAGAGTATTCCAATGAATGACTGTACAGAAATATCAGTCATTCTACACATTACTGTCCTGATAGCTGAGTGAGCTCCAGAGTCAGAGGCCACGTGCTAGTAACTTGAGGGCTGCTAGAGCTTGCCCTGCACACAGCTCTGCCTGTGTGTTCCTCACAGCCCAAGAAGCACAGCGGGTAGCAGAGGTCTTGGTATTTGCCTGTTTGCTTGGTGATTTAACTTTGTTCTTATGAGTGTCCATGATTTAATTGGTCCTTTTAGCCCAGTATCTGAGCACTTTCCTGGTAAGGATCCTGCATTTTACTTACATTAAGTAAGGTTTTATTTTACCAACAGACAGTGCTAGTTCTCAAACTTTCCACGTAGATTGTGAAGTGTATTTGTCTTGCTCACTCCAACTTTCTATTAGAAAAGAACTGAGTAAGCTGAGTGTGGTGGTGCATGCCAGTGAGTCCAGCATTTGGGAGGCTAAGGCAGGAGGATCACCATGAGTTCTTACCTTTGGGGTACTCTGGATTACACAGTAAATGCAATTCCAGACTGAACTACACAGCTTGACCCTATGGCAAAGAGCAAAGATGGGGGAGGGATGATGGGAAGGCAAGTTTCAATTTTGTTGCCAACAATTGTATGTTCAATAAATGTTTTGCCCATAAACTTAAAACTAACCCCATAGCCTTATCACACATAATATACATTCGTAGGTGGCATATAACCAGAGAAATAAAAAGGCTCACCAGCTTTCAGGTATGGCTTAGCCTGAGTGGAAGTGCATTTCTCTGATGGTCTGGTTTTGAGGATGTGAGTCTCTTATATAGCGTCACAGAACTAACAGAACTAACGCCCAAAGCTGGTGGGGCATACAAATGTTACAGATTGACTTTAGGGCTTAGTTCTGGAATCTGCACGCTGGCTTGCTTCTGCCTTAGCTTGCTGAGTGGGTAGCCCAGCATCAGGGATGTTGTTTGAGCTGAGATGAGAGAGATCCAAGAAAGCCCTGAGTGATAGACCCCAATCTGGTTGTGACAGTACCAGTGTGGTAGCTACCTTCTTTGTAGGAATCATTCTGGGTGGTTTTTTATTTATTTTTTTTGTAAGGATTGAGGGAGGTCCTTTTTAGTATTTCTGTCTTTAAGACAAGGGCCATCCAGTGAGTCTGGGTACTTTCTACTGGTGAAAGTTTAGGAACCTGGATATAGACATTATGAAAACACCACAGTCGGATTCTAGCCAAATCCCCAAACCCAGAAAGTCCCACCTAAATCTCCACTACTTAAGTGACCATAATCAAGCAGTCTTTGAAAAAAGTCTTACCTCCAAAAAAAAAAAAAAAGGAAGATAGTTTGATAAAAACTTTTGAAGACTAAATTATTTGCTACTTTCGTACACTTCATTTTATAGCTAATTGATCCATATACTTAAGCCTGTGGACACTTTCTTTTCCCTTTTAATATTGTGTTCTATCAGTGCCTCAGAAGCAGGAAGGGCTTGAGGCTATGTCCAGTTCATGGTGGTAGTCAGCTTAAGTTTGACAAGTCTAAAAAGAGTTACGTTTTATAGGATTTTCCTTCTGCTTTCATAATAGTTACAAACGTGCCTTTTTCCTTTTCCTCAGGCCAGATAATGCAGTACCTGGAGATGTGCTTGTGTTAACAAAACCCCTCGGTACGCAAGTGGCTGTTGCTGTACACCAGTGGCTAGATATTGTGAGTAAACCACTGTGGTGGGCACTGAACAGTGAGCTCTCAGAGTTGGGTCGACTTTTGTCACAGGGTGGAGGGGCGGGGGGGGGGTGATAAAATAAGACCAGGCGGGGAACTCGGAGTGCTGTGCAGGATAAACATCTAGTCCTGCGCAGCCTAATGAAATAGTTAGAAGCAGGTGAAGCACGCAGGTGGCAGAGATGAGCGCTGGGAGCTTCTGGTGTCTTCCACCTCAGCTTCACAACACCTTTGCTGTATTTTAAGACAGCTTTAAAAAAATTCTTAGAATTGAAAAGGCAAATTCCACATATTAACAGCACAGTATGCTTTTTATAAAGGTCAGAGATAAGAGGGAAAAAGTATAGAATTAAGAATATTTGTTATGTACACAAGCAGAAGTAATGGGATATAGGGCCGGCCATATAGCTCAGTGGATTAAAGCGCCTGCAAGCAGGTGCATGGGCTGGGGATTCAGTCCCTGGGCCTGCCAGGCCAGCCCTGCCTCCTCGGCACGCTGAGACATCAATTGAACACTTGGGAGGCTGTAAATAGGTGGATCACTCTGATCTAATAGTGAGACCCTGAACACCTATGGGCCCTTCTCTTAAAAAAAATAATGGGTAACGCAGACAGAAGCTATTGGTGATGTCTAGTTAGTAGTAACTATACTGGGGGTGGGGTATTAGAAAGCCATGGTGCATGGGTGCATGCATATGTGTTTTTGTTTCTGGGTATCAAATTCAAGGCCTATATGTTCTGGGCAAGTACTTTACAGCTGAGCCACACCCCAGCCCCTTGGGTTTTTTTTTTTTTTTGTACTTTCTATCATCAGAAAACCAAGTGGTTGGATGCATGCATGCATAGGAGCAGCTGATTTTGGGCCATGATGACAGAGTGACAGGAACTGATGCCGGATTCTTTGAAAATCAGACTTGGAGAGACATGGCTTTTTACGATGCTCTTTTTATGCTGTCTTTTTTGTCACTGAATTTTGTCCTCAGTATGCACAAAAGGTGTTTTTATATCCCTGTGTTCATCAAGATCCTTTCATTCCAACATTCAGTTAAAGTCAATAATAGTCATTATGCTATGAAAAATAAGAGCCAGCTTAGTAGAGGTCATGATGCGGAGAACCAGAGGCATTCATAACTATTAGTAACGTGCTTTGCACCTTGCCAAAGAGTAGACTGCAGCCCATTATCACACATCTCCTCTTGCTTGCACTGTCCTGCTAGCTTTGCACAGCCAATATGCTGCGGTATTTGATTATAGGAATGTGGGATAAGATAGAAAAGAGCATAATGATAGGTTCGATGGACACTTAATAATTACAGGACAAATGTTAAAACACTTGATTTTATGTACAGAGTTAGGTTTATGAAACTCCCCAGCCAGGCAGGGCTGGAGCTCTGTTAACAGCATGGACTGAGCCAGTGGACAACACTGGGTTTAATTACCCAGCAAAGAAAAAAAGCCCCAAAGGATGACTAAGAAAAATGATGCTGTCTCTGTCGATGGTTAGCAGTCAGATTAATCACATTTTCCCCCCCTCCTCCCCCACTGGTGTTCCTATTATTAGCCTGAGAAATGGAATAAAATTAAGCTAGTGGTCACCCAAGAAGACGTCGAGTTGGCATACCAAGAAGCCATGATGAACATGGCGCGGCTCAACAGAACAGGTAGGGTGGAAAGGGCGTGGCTCTTTTTATGCTGTCCTTTTTGTAACAATTTTGTCCTCAGCATGCACAAAAGGTGTTTTTATATCGTGTTCATCAGGATCCCTTCATTCCAACATTCAGTTAAAAGTCAGTTAATAGTTGCTGTAGTATGAAAAATAAAGGCCAGCTTAGTAGAGGTCATGGTGAGGAGAACCAGAGGCATTCGTAACTGTTAGTAATGTGGGCTGGCAGAGATTCTGAAGAGGGCTGAGAGCACCAAAGTTTAGGCTTTATTGAGCTCGTAGAGTCTCAGTTGAAAATTGATCTTTCCCCCTTACAGTTGTGTTTATACATGCAAAAATTTTGATACATAGCTGGGAGCATACTAGGTGAGAATTACTGCAAACCATCTTCTCTTGCTACTTGTTCTGGCTTCCATAGATCACTCATGGGAATCCAAATGCAGATAGTCCCCTACGTATGATGGTGTCACTGAGCATTTTTCAGCCTTATGGTGTGAAGGTGATACACAGTTGATAGAAAACTGCATAGAGATATGCAGCATAGTATTCTCCCTGTTTGCCTGTAGTGCTGGGCAGTGGCAGCAAGGACAGCTCCTTATAACCTCTTGGTTGTGAGCTGAGCAACTAGTATCATGCAGTGGCTGTGGTGCTGAGCACATATGGTATTTATTAGGTGAACAAAATGCATTTTTTGGGGAGATGGCTCAGTGGATTAAACGCTTCCCTGGCAAGCGCAAGGGCCTGAGTTCAATCCCTAGTTCTGCCAAAAAAAATGCATTTTTGGCTTGACTTTGTCGTAAGTCGAGGAGCATGTTCTCAGCAGTGGTGTATGTGACTTGTATTAGATGAAAACTTGCCAAAGGAATCAGTGGACATGGTTAGGTGTTGTATTTCATTGTTGATTAGTCCATGTTTGCAGTACATGTTTACATTCTTGTGTGGAGTTGGTACTTGTGCCTAACATATTTTAATCTGCCTTTCCTTCCCCCTTCCATCTCTTGATCACCTTCCCCTTTGGGAAAGATCTGGCTCCCTCCTTTTTTAAAAAATTATTTTTATTTTTATGTATTTAGTACATGGTCTCACTACACAGATTGGACTCAGTGATCCTCCTGTTTTCAACCACCCAAGCTCTGGGATTATAGGTGGTGCCATGTCTCCCTCCTTTGTATTGCCTACCTTTTATTTTACTCTTTATTTATATTTGGTTTTCTCACATAAGAGAAACCATGAGATCTTTAAGCTCGTGTATGTATCTGGTTTATTTCATTTAACACTGTAGTCTTAACATTCATCCATGGTAAATGATTCCAGTGTATCTTTATGGCACAGTAGGACTCCATGGTGTGTAAATACCACATTTTCTTTTCATTCATCTTTTAAGACATAAGCTGCTTCCAAGAGTTAGCTATTGTGAATTGTCCTGCTATACATATCAGTATGCATGTGTCACTGTTCTTTAACTATAAGAAGATACTGGGGACGGGATAGATGGGTCAGATGAAATTTCTAGCTTCAGTGTTTAAAGGAATCTTCGTGCTGATTTCCATAGTGGCTATACTAGTTTACATTCCCACCAACAATGTCGAAGGGCTTCTTTCCCCACAGCCTCACCAACAGTTATTATTTGATTTGTAGTGATGGCTATTCTTTCTGAGTCAAGTTGAAGGGTTTTATACTCACTTTTTATTACCATTGGTAGCATTTAGCATTTTTGCACCAAACTATTAAGTATTTTACAGTAAAGCAGAAAGCTTTTCATAGATCTTTCTAAATCTTAACCTCAATATGTCAAGTAACTGTTTCTAGAGAGCATTTGTGTGGATTGCTCTGTATAATGTTTTGGAAGCAAACCAACATTCAAAATGGAAATTTTGGGGCCGGGGAGATGGCTCAGTGGAATAAGTGCTTCCCTGGCAAGCTCAAGGGCTTGAGTTCAATCCCTGGTTCTGCCAAAAAAATAAAATAAAATAAAATAAAATGGAAATTTCGACAATTTTTATTGTGAAAATATCAGATTTCTTATTAATTGCATGCTACATTTAGGTATACACAGAAGTTTATAGCAGCTTTATTTTGTATTTGCCAAAATTTGGGTGCAACCAAGATGCCTTCAATAGGTGAGCAGATAAAGAAGCTGACATGTCCAGATGAAGGAGTATTACAGAGCAGTAGGAAAACATGAGTTCTTAAGCTGTGAAAAGATGGGAGACTCTTACTTTTTTTAAAACATTTTTTTTTTTAAATTTTATTTGTGTGTGTGTGTGTGTATGTGTGTGTGTGTGGCCAGCTCAGCCCACCACGGGGCAAGGCTGGCTGGCATGTGGTGCTGGGGGATTGAACCGCGGTCCCTGTGTTTTGCCAAGCTTGTTCCAAGTAGGTGCTTTAGACCACTGAGCCATCTCACCAGCCCCGGGAGACTCTTAAATACATACTGTTATTAATTTTTTTGCACCAGGAATTGAACTCAAGACCTTACACTTCCCAGGCAGGCACTGTGCCGCTGAACTATATATACCCCGACCCTGTCACGTATATTAAGATGGTGAAAAGTTCAAGCTGTGTGTGGTGGCTCATACCTATAATGTCAGCTCGCTGGAAGCTGAAATAGGAGGATCTTAAGTTTGAGCACAGCCTGCACAACTTAGTCAATTAACTAGACCCTGTCACAGAATAAAAATGGCTAGGATGTAGCTCTGTGTGAAGGCTCCAGGTCTCTTCCTCACCCCCGCCCCCCAAAAAAAATCTGTGGGTGCCAGACTTAGGAGCAAGGGAAGATAGTACTAAGGCAGAGCACAGGGTCTTCAGGGCAGAGAAACTGCTCTGTGGCACAGTGCTGTATGCTTGTTCTGGTATCAAATCGCATAGACCCAGTCTCCAGGGACCCCACTGTAAAGCACTGGTTTCATTCAGCAAGTGCTCCGCACTCCTGTGAGATGTTGAGGTAGGGAGAGTGGGGAAGGCAGGCATATCAGATGTCCTTGGTTTTTTAACTTAGTTTTTCTCCAAACCCAAAACTTCCCCAAAGTGAAATCTGTTCATTTTTTTAAATTACAACATTTAGAAAGTCATTAAATTTTCTTGGACAGTCCATTATGAGTATCTTGATTTTAATCCAGGCATTTTTAGTGGGGGACATAAATGCCAATTTTGTTCTAACACATTCTTGTGAATGTATGATACCTTTGTTTATTCTTTAGGATTTTTTTTCCTTTAGGATATTTCTATTGATGAATTACTGATTTTAATTTTGAGTTTTGCTGTATTACACAATGAATAGCTAACAGGAAAAAAAAAATAGCCAAAAATGTATTTAATTTCTAAAGGGCCAGGGAGATGGCTCAATGGAATAAGTGCTTCTCTGGCAAGCGCAAGGTCCTGAGTTCAATCCCCGGTTCTGCAAAAAAAAAAAAAAAAAAAAAAAAAGTATTTAATTTCTAATACTTAAATGACTTATGAAAACATCAAAATTTTCAACACCTTTTTGTGTACAGAATTTAAAAAATAACAAAGGAGAATGAAAATACCTGTAGAATTTTATTTTTGAAAAATCTTTAGCTATCACATTCAAGGCAGTCTTCACACATGAAAACTATATGTGCGTTGGTAGATAGCATGTATCTTTTGTTTTCCTGTGTCTAGAAGCTGAGGTAGGAGGATCTCAAGTTTGAGCGCAGCCTGTGCAACTTAGTCACTTAGCAAGACCCTGTCACAAAAATAAAGGGCACAGTCGGCCTCTTTTTGCTTTTCCTGTTGTCAATAGTAGGTCTTGTGATGCTGAACCTGCCTGTTCACTAGTCAGCCAATCGGTGTGCTCTATATTTTTTTTGTGTGTGTAGTTCTTAGAAACATTTTGTTTTTCGTCTTCTATAAATGATCTCTTAGGTGTTCTAGTAACAGTCGTCTGAAAAGTTTCTCCATAATATTTTGCACTTGCTATCTTCTTTGTAAACTATCAAACTATTTATGTCACATGTTTAGGATCAAGGAAAACACAACCGTTGGCCAATGCTTTCTGTTTCAAGTAACATAGTTGTCATATAACTCATCAACAACATCTACTCCATCTTCAGTTTTGCTGTAGAAAGTTACCATCTCAGGCTTTTGTTTTGTCAAAGTAGATTCATTTTATTGGGATTCATGGAGTTGTAGTCCTGGTCTCTTCTAGAATGTCATTCAGGACATTTTGGAGTGCTGGTTTGTGGTCTTGAATTTCCCTAGGTGGTGTTACAGAAATATTTTATTTTTCTAGCAGTTTTGAAAGATTTTCAAAATACACTGGAGTTGGAGGTTTTGTTTTGTTTTAGGGTTTTGAGGATTTTTGTTGAGACTGCTGTGATTCTGTTTGGCTTTCCTTTATAGGTGATTTGTTTATTTTCTATAACAGCTTTAAATATTCTGTTCTGGTGTTGAATTTCTGGATTTTTTTTTTTTTTTAATGTATTTAGTACAGGGTCTATAGGCCCTTACTATACAGATCATCCTCGTAGTAATCCTGTTTTCAGCTTCCCAAGTGCTGGGATTATAGACATGCACCCCCCCACACCTAGTATCAATTACTGTCTCAGTGTGCCCCTAGGGTAGGGCCAGCATAGCGCACACGAGATTGAACACCGGTCCCTGTGCCTGTCTAAGCAGGCACTTTGGTCTGCTGAGCTATCTGGCTGGCCCAAATTTCTGGAATCTTGATTATTACATGCCTTGATGTTTAATTTTTTTTTTTTTTTTTTTAATGTATTTGGTTGTTGCAGGGTCTCACTTGGTGACCCTTCTGTATGCAGCCTCCCCAGCGCTGGAATTACAAGCTTGTGCTACTATGCCTTCACGCTGGCCAACTCCACTTGGCCTGGGGGCAGGGCTGGCCCACCTTGTGGTGCTGGGGATCTAACCATCACCACTGTGCTTGCCTAAGCTTGCTTAACTTGCCCAAACAGGTGCTTTAGTCTGCTGAGCTATCTCACCGCCCCCCTTTTAAGTAAGGCTAATTGGAGTTCTATATGCCTCACTGTGTATAAAATTCTTTTTCCTTGCTTGGGAAGTTTTCTGCCATTCTGTGAACAGGTGTTACATCATTTGTACTTTCCTTACATTAATTACTCTTTGGATCACCTAGGAGCTGCTGGGTTGATTTCTCGTGTTCCTTTGCGGTGCATTGTTGAGGTCAGCAGTACCAGTTTGTTTTCCTTTGCATGTGAAGCCAGTATTACAGCTTTCTAAAATCCAAAGATTGTGCAATTATCTGTTTGGAATTGAAATCATTCATTTGGACTTTCTGCTTTGTTCCTATATACAGTTCTATGCTGGTCAACTTGTGCTATACTGGAAATGAAACATCAATTGGAAACTGGGCTAAATGTCACATTCCAATTAGTTTGGGAGATGGGGGCAACAAGTCTGTTCACAATATCATTTGGTTTTTTACTGTACAAATAAGGGTCTTGTGTCTGAGTTCCAGGATAAATTTCTAATTGAAAGCATAATAAATATTTGCATTTATGAGGGCATAAATTTTTATGCCATACTTTGAAGGGTTTTTTTTTTTAAATACACTGCTTGAAGTTACAGTGAATATGAAATGCTTCAAGATGTTCAGTATGGGGCTGGTGAGATGGCTCAGTGGTCTAAAGCACCTACTTAAAACAAGCTTAGCAAAGCACAGGGACCACGGTTCAATCCCCCAGCACCACATGCCAGCCAGCCCCGCCCCCTGGTGGGCTGAGCTGGACACAAACATACATAAATAAAATTAAAAAAAAAAAAGATGTTCAGTAATCATTATTCATTGGAGACAGGGAGATGGCTCAGTGAAATAAGTGCTTCCCTGGCAAGCGCAAGGGCCTGAGTTCAATCCCCGGTTCTGCAAAAACAATAAAAATAAAAATAAAAATAAATCATGTATTCACATGGTGTAAGTAGCTAGACAATTATCCACAAATTTCTTCAGACCTTGAACAGATAACAGCCACAGGCGATTCTAAAGAAAACCAAATCTCCTCAGTGTCTTTGTTATTCTACAAACTTCAAGCCCATGAAGATTACTGTGAAAAAACCCTGCTAAGTACAGCCGACCTATGAATGTGTTCAGTTCAGCCAGTGAGGTGTCCTAGTGAATTCATTTTTGGGTATGGCTGCTGGTACATACAGAATGTTTTACTTATATTTCAGTATTTGTGTATTTACATTTTGTAACATTTCATCTGTTACAAATAATTTACAACATTGGGCCAGCCAAATAGCTCAGTAGATTAAAGCACCTGCAAGCAGGTGCAGGGACTGTGGTTCGATCCCAGGCTTGCTGTGCCAGCCCCATCCCCGCCCCGGGGTGCATTGAGAAGGCATTTGAGACTGGGCAATTAAGACGGCGTGGTGGCGCAAGCCTGTAATCCCAGCTCTTGGGAGGCTGTAAACGGGGATCATTATGAGTCCGATCTAGTGGTGAGACCATGAACACCCTGTAGACCCTTCCCGAAAACAGAAAAACCCCAAGTAATTCACAGCATTAAGTGGCAGTGCTGGCATTCCATCTAATAGGTTTCATCCCTGCCAAGATCCTCATCATGTTTTCAGACCTAGTTCTAACAGTGGATCATTCATTCCATTTGGTTGTACGACCCTTTTGTACCATTTTTACTAGGTAAATATTTACTTACATTGCTGTTTTCTTTGTCTTCTGAATCAAGGATGTCTACATTCCTTGTGTCTGAATTGATTGGTTTTTGTTCCATTTTATGGTCACAGGAAATTTGGCTCATGTGGCCAATGTCACTATGTATGAGTGATCTGATTCAATTTTGACTGCCTCCAAAACTTGCAAATCTAGTTTTGCGTGTGCCATTGTACTGAATTGGGCTACTTCTACCGGAAAAATCAAAAGAAAACTTAGAAACAAATTCTATATGCACAGAAATTTAGCAGTGAGCATTTCATGGGTAAAACTCCTGCGATGCTGCTTTGGATCTCTTGTCCACATCTTGCTGTTTGCCAGCCAAGTGTGTTAATGCACAGTTGGATTTTGCTTTCCCAAGGCATAGCTACTGAGAGTCACATCCACATTCCATTTCTGTTCACTAAAGAGTGGTATTGGGTGTGTTTTACCCCTTTTAATGCTCAGGGAAACAGACAAAACCCGCTACATGGGGCATTCTGTGGGTAAAAATCTCAGTTTGACACATGCACACACCTTGCTGTTCATCATAACAATTGGGTGAATATACACATTGCTTCCTGTGTCCTCCAGGTGCAGCTAATCAGGAGCAGTTGGTTACTGTTAATGTAATATACAGGTTTACAGCACAAAACTATGGGTGGGTTGTAACCCTGTGTTGTGCCCTTGCTTTTAAAAGATCCGTTTGATTTTTAGGGTAGTTTTGACAAATTTTGTTCTATTGATTAGTTTACTGGGAAATTACTGTGGATTGAAACTGCCAATGGGTTCCATGTGGTTTAGGTTGAAATCACTCAGCTTTCAGGATTTCATTCTGGTTTTGTTGATTTTATGATAGGACGTTTTCATTATCCTGTACACCATTTCCCTGATAGGAGATTTTTTGCTTCTAGCATGTGTGAGGGTGGGAGTTGTAGACAGGTGCTTTTTCTCAAAAGTCACCCATCTGCCCTCTTAGCTGCAGGACTTATGCACACATTCAACGCCCATGCGGCCACTGACATCACGGGTTTCGGGATTTTGGGCCACGCACAGAACCTGGCCAAGCAACAGAGGAACGAGGTATCATTTGTGATTCACAACCTTCCTGTGCTAGCAAAGATGGCTGCTGTGAGCAAGGCCTGTGGAAATATGTTTGGCCTCATGCATGGGACCTGCCCGGAGACATCAGGTATGAGGAGCCTGGTACTAGGTCTGACGTCAAAGCAAGTCAAAGAGGCTAACAGAAAGCAGTGGGTCAGGGCATGTGTGCATCCACTTGGGAGGCCACTCCTGATGACTGCAGCTGCAGCTCCTGCTGTCCTGTGGATTAGGATTTTAAGTGGCTCTTTGGGTTGTTTCTTTCTTTCTGTAGGAATACGGCATTGGTATGGGACAGCATACAGAGAAGATACATCACGATCAAAGTTTTTTCTTATTTCTGTTTCCTTTTCTGTGCAGCTCTAGTTTTCTATCTTGGGGATTTAAAAAGAATACATATTAGAAGCCCCAGAAAATATAGTATCTTGGAGCTAGGGTGGGCCAGGTCTACCTGGGAGATTGTGGTGCAGAGCCCTGCACAACAGTTCCATGAAATAGCTGCAACTTCAGGGCTCCCCAGACCTTTCCTGCCCATGTAAGGACTGATTTCAGACAGAAAGTTTCCACAAGTTTCAGGGGCAGAGAGATAAAGTTTCTATATTGGTCTGATACCTAGATAAAATAGTGTCTGCCACCTAGTAGGCAATGAGAGATTCTTGAATTAATGAATATCACCATTGAATTTTATTACTTTTTTCAGAATGAGGTTTTATGATTACATAGAAGTAGAATACAAAATAGTATGTTTCTTCCTAATTGTGCTGTTTTTACATAGAAACAGGTAAAACTTTCTAGCCTGGTTACCAGAAATACCAAAATGGTTTATTTTAATGTATTGTGTACTTTTTCTGTTTTGGAAGTGATGACAGTTAGGACTAGAGTGTAGATATTTTGAAGGATACTCACTTTCCTGAATCTTAAAATATAGTGGAGCATTCTTGGCGAGATGAGTAGTCCATGTAGGGAAGGAGCAAGTTGAGGCAGAACATTTCTCCTCTGCTTGTAAATGTGTTTCCTGGTGTTAATGTGGATAAAGCACTACTGCATGATTTATTAAGACCTCAGATATTTTACATGATGTAAATGGTACATGTGTACACCATTTGCACAATTTAAAGGTTTTTTAAAAAAACATATACTAGGAGTATACCAAGAAATTGATTGGTGTATGCTGTAAAGTAGGCTTAATTTAATGGGAAGAACAACTTGAATGAATTTGTTAACTGAGCTTGAGTCTGTGTAGAAATTTTTTATAGCATACTAATGGTATTTTTTATTTTGTTTTCTTTTTGCTAGGAGGCCTGCTAATCTGTTTACCACGTGAGCAAGCGGCTCGGTTCTGTGCAGAGATAAAGTCCCCCAAATATGGCGAAGGTCACCAAGCATGGATTATTGGGATTGTAGAGAAGGGCAACCGTACAGCCAGAATCATAGACAAGCCCCGGATCATTGAAGTCGCACCACAAGTGGCCACTCAAAACGTGAATCCCACACCTGGTGCTAC